CTATTTATGTGGTAATTGCTTGCTTCTTATTTGATAAGTTGGTTGGAAGTTCGAATATTTTCAGTGTCTCCTTCTTTACAATTCCTGACATCAAAAGTCCTAGAGGAGAGTGAACCATTAGGTGATTGGCTATTTTGATTTTCTTTAATTAAAGATAAATTAATAATTTAAATTTATTATTTATTATTTGATTAATTAGTTAATAAATTAATTAATACGTTTTAATTAATTGCCTTTTTGAACCAATTTATCACTCTACGCAAGTTTCTTTTTCCAAATTATTATTTTTTAATATTATTTTGTAGCAATTTGTTTAACATGTCACTTGTTATTTCGCACCTGGTCCTTCGGATCAACTGACAACCTATCAACTTGAAGTGCATTCTCCATTTTCATGGGTGGACTCAAAACCCACCCTTGACAATTTGTTAAAAAAAAAAATGTCACTTGTTATTTCTGTCGGTGAAAAAATAAAATTAATACTGAAACATTTTAAATATTTTTGAAGTTTAAGGACAAATAAAAAAATATTTTTTAATATAAATTATATTTTTAATTTAAATATTAAAATTATTTAAATATTTTTATAATTTAAATAGCCAGACTGAATGAAATAATATCGTCTTTCCAAAAAAAAAATTCAGTCTAAAACTTAAAGGTTCGCGGACGAAACTGGCATTTGAAAATTAAAAGGTAAAATCTCCAATTTGGTCTCTGAACTATTATATGGACCCCTGATTTGGTCCCTAAATTAAAAAATCTCTAATTTGGTCCCAGTAGTTAAGTAAGAGTGTAGCCGGCGGGTTCTGTAACTCCCGAACCCTAACTCCGAGGGTTTTCAGTTTAATGCTTCTGGTGTATGTATCACGTTCTTCCCCATTATAGAAAACTTCAAGAAACTACCCTCAAAATTTGCTCGATCATCGGTTGATCCGCAGAGATGCTTTTATTTGTGATGAGGCTTATGCAATTCTACAAGAAGGAATTTAGAAATAGGTATTGTGAGTATTTGGGAATATGGCTTGAAATATGAAGTGTTGCTTTGATGATTACATGTATTACAACATTTCTACTGATAGAGAGACATGTAAGACAGCGCTAGGTACATAATTACATGCATTAGTGAAAAGGATAGAAACTGCAATGGTTAAACCGCAATCATGCTTTAAAAATGAACAACTTAAAACAGTAAGTATTAAAAATTTGAAATCATGACATTTAAAAAAATAAAAAACAGAATTTGTAACTGAAAGGTTATTGAACAGTAGAGTACGCCCAAAAAATAGAGAGTAAACTATCTACAAGAGCTTCTCAAAATATCTTTTCATTAACTATAAGACAATGCCAGAGAACTCAGTTCCAGGTGTGGTAACACAAACAAGCAACCCATGGAAGAACTAGAGAAATAGGGTAGGTGTAAATTAACTCGCAGAATTTGGAGTCCACTGGCAGGAGACAGCATTTCAGGAAGATCACTAGAATGTTGCACATTCAAACCCTCAAATAATTTAAACACAATTTCGTTCTCCTGAAGCAGTAACACAAGAATGAATAACAGGTAAACTTGAAGTGCATTCAATTCAAATTATTCTTTAAATGTAATGTTAAGTATATCCGTAAGTATTGAATTTATATTTAAAAAGCTATAGTTTCTGCACCTGTAAACAATGACATGAGCACAAATAGTGAAAGAAGAGAAAACTATGGTCCAAGGCAATCAATGGAAGAAACAGCTTGCAGCACAATTAGAGTTAGTGTTAATTTATTGGCACTATTTGCAGAAAACATCCACTAAAGAGAGCCATCAAATTAGTTTGAGCATAACAGAGAAAGATAAACAATGCATGATAGGTATAAATTATCAGCTGTCTTGATTGAGTAAACAATGCATGATAGGTATAAATTATTAGTTTGAGCACTATATACTTTTTTAAGTTGTTGCTCCTACACATATTGCAATGGATTGAGTAAAAATAATACAAAGAGCGGAGATCTAATAAATTTATATGTTGCAACTTCTATATAAAATAACACCTATATAACAATTAAACCATACAAAATAACAACTGAGATTTTAAGAAAAAAAATTCATACCAAGAACCAACATCCTCACCACTTGTTTAGATTTAGAGAAAATAGAGAAAAGTAAAAATAAAACATCATAGTGTCTAAAATGTCAGTACTCCTATAAAATTATATAAATATTTTTACTGAAATTTTTTTATATGTTGATTTATTAAAGATATTTAAATAATTTTATAAAAAGTCTTATCATTTTAAATATCAATTTATCTTAATTTTTACTTTT